ACTGTCTTCCAGTTCACTGGCCCATTCCTCTCTATCATCTAATCTCCTATTGATCCCTTCTAGTGTATTTTTTCAGTTATTGTATTCTTCAGCTCTTTTTGGTTCTTCTTTGTATTTTCTAACTCTTTGTTAAACTTATCACTGTGTTCATCCATTCTTCTCCTGAGCTCATTGAGCATCTTTAAAATCATTGCCTTGAACTCTTTATCGGGTAGATTGCTTATCTCCCTTCACCTACCTCTTCTACATATGGAATATATATCTCTCTCACCTCATTTTGCCTAATTTTCTGTTTTTATTTCTTCATAGTAGGTAGGTTGATTATGATTCCTGATTTTGGAGAAGTGGCCTTATGTAGGAGATGTCCTATGGGGCCCAGCAGAACACTCCCCTCTATTCACCAGAGTTGTGTGCTCTTGGGATGCCTCATATGTGGGCTGCATGAACCCTTCTCTTATGGCATGGCTAACTACTGTGGGCACACTGGTTGGCAGGGCTGGGCCCTTGCAAGGGTGGCTGCCAGGCTTTGCCTCATGTGGTGAATGCTGGCCCACAGGTGGGTGGGGTTGGGCCCCAGCATAGCTGACCATGGGGCCTGTGGGGCCTGAGGCTGGTTCCAGACCTCTGATAGGTGGGGCCATGTCCTGGCACAGCTGGACCTGCAGCCCATGAAGTCCTGGGACTGGTGCCATCCAGCTGGTGGGCAGGTAACCCCTGGCACTAAGAGGCTAGAGGGAGGTCTCCAAAATGGCGCTTGCCAGTGCTGGTGTCCATGTGGTAGAACGAGCTCCCAAGAATGGCTGCCACCTGTATCATCATCCCCAGGGGAGTCCTAGTTGCCTCCTGCCTCTCCAGGAGGCTTTCCAAGATTAGCAAGTTTATCTGATCCCGGATCCTTTCAAACTCTGCCTCTGTGCTGAGACTTGGAGCATGAGAAATTTTGTGTGTTTTCTTGAAGAGCAGAGTCTCTGTTCCCTAGTAGCCCTCTGGCTTAACATAAGTCCTGCTGGTGTTCAAAGCCAGACATCCTAGGGGCTCATCTTCCTGGTACAGGACCCCCAGTCTGGGGAGCCTGATGTGGGGCTCAGATCCCTTGCTCCTTGGGGAGGACTTCTGCAATTATGATATTCTTCCAGTTTGAAAGTTGCTGATCCAGGAATGTGGGTCCTGACCATACCGTGTCTCCACCCCTTCTACCCGTCTCGTTGTGGTTCTTTCTTTATAACTTTGGTCATGGAAAATCTTCTCTGCTAGTCTTCAGGTTGTTCTCGTAGGTAGTTGCTCTATAAGTAGTTGTAATTTTGGTGTGCCCCTGGGACAAGGTGAGTTCAGGGTCTTCCTACTATGCCATCTTGAACACATTCCCCTCATAGGAAGTTGACTTTATAATTGCTCTCCATTTTTTATATATGAAGATTTGGAATTGACTTTGATAATTGAAATAGTCAAGCCACTGCCCAAAGAGAAAAATCTTGTGTCTATTGAATAATAAAAAAGAATTCAATATGACTCTTGGCTCTTTAAGCCTTTATAATCTATTGTCACCTATTTAGCACTTATCTGTTTAAAGATTTAATAAAGAAAACTCATATCTGCTATATGTTAAAATCCCATAATTAGATAGTTAATTTGCTCTGAAATAACTAAAATTAATAAGTAAACATACAATTAAATAATTTGTGCTGAAACTTTACCTCACGCAATAAGAAACATAATATTTACATCATTATTTTTAGATCTTCTAAAATATGTAGTATTTGTATAATATTAAAATAACAATTATTTTTTCCTTCCTAGACAAGTGGAATTACTGATATAAAGGTAGATCATTTCTGAATAACTAGAGCTTTGAGAACTTTTCTGCTTAATTAATTGTGAAACTCCCTGATTATTTACACTTAGGGGAAGAAAAGGTTGAAAAATGACACCCACCCAGCGGTAGGACCTACCCAGGTAGGACCAGCAGCCCTGCACTCAGTTCTTACCTATTGCATACCTGGGGCTGTGACCACCCCCATTTTCCTCTGGAGAATTTACTGTTGGTACTATCCACCTGGTATGTAAGTTTTCCTCTGGTCTCAGTGAGACACTTAGAATAGGAACAGTACTAGCAAGAGGTTTTCTGTGCAAAAACTTGACTGTATGGAGAAAAGTGAGGGGTTTATCTTTATTCTGCTCCTGGATAAATTATGAAGAATCAATTTTATCATGATAGATTTTTGTGATTCCATATTTATTTAGACCTATATTTGTATTTGTTAAATTTTCTTTTATTTAATGAAGGTATAATCCAGTTAGATTTAGTCAGAACTCAGAATTTATGGTAATTTTTAAGACTAATTTGCCTTTCACTATCCATAAAGTTTGCTAAACAAAATAACAGCATAAAAAATTAGTACCCTCATAAGCATCTAAAACATCCATTTATGTACTAAAAATTAATATAGTAACCTTAAATTAACATGATTAAAGCCAGTCCTTCTGTAGAAGTACTTTGTTAGCCTAATTACTATTGTAGAATACACATGAATTTAAGAGAAAAAGTGCACATACAAAGCACTATCATTCAGACAGTTCAGCAACTCAACTGGCCTCGAGCCAGTGAGTTCAAGTAAACAGGCACCAGCAGGTTTTTCCATTTCAAGAAAAAAAGTCGAAAGAAAAAAACTATGAAACCCTAAAATTTGGGAGGAAAAAAACAAGAAATTGAGATAATGGGCCTGTAAAAGAACTGATCAGCAGTACAGAGGTAAAGTTTAATCAATGCATGATAACCATCTAGTGGAGGATATATTTCTGAAATCCCTAGAAAAGTATTTAGGAAAAAAATAAAATGAGAGAGCCCCAAAATGTTGTCCAGGAAACTGGAAAACGCTTTTAAATACAAATCGTGTAAACACATTACCTGTGTAATTCTTTCAGGTCATGCTCACAACACATTTAATTTTGGTGCATTTAGAAAATTCTGGGTTTTTAAAAAAATCATTACGATCATTCTTAATTACTTTAAACCAACACTGGGCCAAAGAGTCACAGATGAAATCTAATTATATAGAAAATTTTTGAATAAAATTGTAACAGAGCAGCAGACCATCAAGAATTATATATTTTGACTAGTAGATGTCTTTTTAGGAGTAAAATTTTGAATCTTTTCCAAGATCTTTTTCAAACAGATCTGTGCATATGAGTATTCTCCTTATGAGTACAAATTTTATAAGATCTGCCTCCTTTATGTTTATCACAAATCTCTAATTTTAGAATAAACAATCCTTTCTCTTTTAAAGCAGATTATAGATTACTCTTTTATATGCACCAGTGTATCTCAAATGAGCAAAGTTGAGATATACTAAAGGCAAGGGCCTAACAAGCAGAGAAATACCTTGAATGGCTCTTCTTTCCCAAAGGGCATCTTGGTCAATAGACATATAAGTATATAACCCTTGCTGTACTGTTTTGAGGACACTTGATCTCCTGGAGCACTTTTTTTTTTCATTCAAAAGTAAGATCTTTCTAAAATTCATAAACTTCTATAATACATTAGGCAGTAAACAAAAATTTTAATAAACAGACTTTGCCTGTGAAGCAAAAAATAAAACAAATAGGTAAACATTTTAAATGCCTAATATATATTTCTAATACTTATCAATCTTGATACTAATATGATAGTATATGAATGATTTTAAATGTGCAATTAGTCAGAAATTTTTGAATGACTTTATGGCATGGCAGCCCATATGAAATGGCACTCAAAGCCTTAAATTTAGAAACTTATAAATGAAAGTTCTAAGCCATAATCAACTATAGTCTTATGAGCTTTGAAACATAGACATTTGTAGCTTCAAAAGACATTTTACTCATGTTATGCTTTTTGTGCTAAAATATTATCCTTCTGAAAGCAGAGAGCTATTGTTTAATCAGCAACTGCATGATTCATGGGTATTCGAATCATAGCACTGTAAAGGACTACATGGGGTCATTTAAAGCATTTTCATGAGTTTTCGTGTGAGTATATATCCTGTTTTTTAAAATTTTGTGAGAAAAAAGTTTAGGGCTTCCCTGGTGGCGCAGTGGTTGAGAGTCCGCCTGCCGATGCAGGGGACATGGGTTCGTGTCCCGGTCCGGGAAGATCCCACGTGCCGCGGAGCGGCTGGGCCCGTGAGCCATGGCCGCTGAGCCTGCGCGTCCGGAGCCTGTTGCTCCGCAACGGGAGAGGCCACAACAGTGAGAGGCCCGCGTACCGCAAAAAAAAAAAAAAAGTTTAGACTCTCCCTAAGAAACTTCTTACAGCATTTAATTAAAACAGCATCAGGAATCTTTCTTCTTGCTCTAAACCTCTCATTTTGTGATTTAAATATGCTGCTTATTCTTTTATGAAGACATTAAAATTGGGTTGCCCGTACTAGAGAGTAAAACTTTATCATGTAGCTACATTGCTCAAAACTGTGTGGTATTGGCACGCTCTCAACCAGGATCTAATGATCTTGGTATAGAATGGTCCAGAATCATATCCCAGTCTACATGGATTTAGTATATAATTTGTTGCATCACCCAACGGTGGGGAATTGATGTGTGATTTTCTATAATGACACGTATTGTTTTAATCAGAAAAAAATCTCTTAAAATTGAAAGCTGTGTTAATTCTGGTTCCATGATTAATCAGCACTAGAAGGCGTACCCTATAAACACAAGAACTCCTTTATCTAGCCAGTTTCTTCTAGGTGCAGCGAACGGTAATGCATGGAGTGAGCCTTTTCTGTACTGGAGCGTGGGCAGTAGTGTGTGCACCCCTTTTACTGCGATGTGTTCAGTGGCAGCTGTCCCTGAGTGCCTGTGTTGTGAGAAGGCGGGGGTGAGAAGAGGCATTTAGGAGGCACACAGGAGTAGAGCGACATCACTTGACTCAAATTAAAGGGTCTTTCCAACGTGTGTCCAAACGCACAGAAAACATGCGTCACTTGTAAGTAACAATTTTTTCAATGATAGTTTATTTTATTCTCTAGAGTGTGGACTTCACTAACAGGGAACATGCAAGGCATACATCTATTAACAAACTGGAATATGAGAATGAAAGGCTCCGAAATGATCTTGCAAAACTTCATGCCATTGGAAAATCAGCATGGGCTAACCAAAATACCTACAAAGAAACAGGAAGGTATGCCTATCAGAGCCAAAAAAATAAGGGAAAAAATGAAGATTGGTATGCTGACACCATTACATAAGGACATAAATGTACAGACATTTAAGTGACATTTATTTTTAAACAATTCAAATTATAATTTTATATACTTTCTCTTCAGTTGTTTAACATTTATTTTATGGTGATAATTCAATAGTCTAGATATACCGTTTTTTATATGAAATTCTGTGTTGCCAATAGCTGTCAAAGTATAACAGTGAAATGGGTAGAATGTTAAAATGAGTTTTCGTCACTTCACACCCTTCTTAGAACCTGATGTGGCATACAAAATATACAAATAAGTAATCTTATTTTTTACGTCAAAATATAGGAAGATAGCATGTCTGACTTAACTTCAAATATATATACACTTTATATTGACACTCCGGCAGTGGTGAAAAACTGTGGTCATTTCATAGAAAAGAATCTATGAATGTGTAAGAGAGGTCTTTTCTGTGTGAAAAGAAGAGTGTGGAAAATCAATATCTGTTGCCCTCGTTATCCCCAGGCTCTTTAAAATGTCTTAGTTCAGGGCTTCCCTGGTGGCGCAGTGGTTGACAGTCTGCTTGCCGATGCAGGGGACGCGGGTTCGTGCCCCGGTCCGGGAAGATCCCACATGCCGCGGAGCGGGCTGGGCCCGTGAGCCATGGCCACTGAGCCTGCGCGTCCGGAGCCTGTGCTCCGCAACGGGAGAGGCCACAACAGTGAGAGGCCCGCGTACCGCAAAAAAAAAAAAAAAAGTCTTAGTTCAAAATTTAAGTAAATACATCAGCCATAAAATTGGCTAATTTCTTCAACTTTAGTAAAGTATTTATGGAGTCAGAACTGTCTCTGGAGTTCTTTCACCATTTTCCCATACTTGGAAAATGCTCAGCAAGACAAACAAGTTTCTTTTCTACAGGATTTCTCAAAGCCATTAATATTGCTAATTACATTGTGAGTTTCCAGGAACAGGTATGATGTGCAACATTCCCCAAACTTATTTGATTTATTAACATTCCATGGTGCTTAGAGACGGCAAATTAATAAGTCCAGACCCAACTTCAATACAACTTTTGCTTTGAAGCTCCTAATACTTAGCATGAAAACTTTACATATTGTTTTCATAAAATATAATTAATATTTGCAACTTTGGGAAATTCACTTAACCTTTGTTTTCCCACCTGACAAATACAGATAATAGTTATAGGGGTTTTCCGAGGATTATAGGAGAAAACATATTTCCATGTAAAATATATAGCCCCCTAAATGTTAGCCATTATCATTGATGTTATTATTACCAACAAAATTGTTAGTATTTATACTAATGTTAATACCGCTCCAACAACTCACAGTACCTAAAAAGTATATTATTTTGGTGGATAAACAAATGGCCGAATCTGACATTTCCTCAAAAGATAGTCCTGTTGGGGAGGAGTGATGCCAGGCTCATCTTTGTAACTAAGCGGTCCAGTTCTACAGGTAGATAAATCCATAAACCCAGGGGCCGTACTAAAAATGTCTGCTCAGCATTCTTGCGGATGTAGTACAGCTCTCTCCCACTTTCACCGCCCCAGCCCTGTATGTATTAGAGGGATATATTCTAAACTGATGTAAGAAACAGAAAGCATTCAGAAGTGCTAAAGTAATAACTCCTCTTCAGGTGGTTAGGGAAGGGAATGAGGGAAGATTGGCTGCTACCCAAAACAAGCACTGTGCGTGGGGTGCTGTGATGGGGTGGGAGCAGCAGCACAAAAGCAGTGTGGGGAGGATGAAAGCGGGCACTGCGCCACCAGGGCCCGGTTCTCTGGTGAGCGTGCCCACGTTGACCGGCCAGTATAACTGAAAATCTGTCCAAAGGGGCCTAATCTTGATTTGAGGGTAAGAATGTATTTTCTAATGTAGAATGAATGCTTTACAAAGTGCTTCCCTACACTATGGATTCATTTCTCCATGGGTCAACTCACCACCCCATCTGTATAGTTTCTCATTGTAGGAGAAAGCAGGCCCCTGTGTTACAAAGGATCTTCCAGTGTATCTTAGTCACTGGTCTGTGTTGAGTGCCCATTAGATGCACAACACTGTTTCCTATTCTTGCTTGTTGGGAATAACTTTGAAAGCCTTGGATGAAGGTACTAGGTGTTGTTATTTGAACAAAAAGACAGCTACTCTGCTTTTTACTATTTTTAAAGAGTGTTTTTATTGTTTGGATTGCTCCCTTTTCTCTTTGCCAGGCAGTAGGGAATGTGTTAAACATGCCTAACGAAAACAAGACAGTAGGGGACACAGAGAGCAGCATAAGAGGTAAAATGCTCAGCAGGAGACTCTTAATAAGCAGTTTGGGTGACTATTCCTGCTGCAAAGCCTTGTGTCCTGCCAGTCTGATTTGTTGAAAGTTTCATTAAATTTGTTTTAATGGCTTGTCTGATTTCAGTGTTCTCCAGTGACCTGATTTTTTTTAAAAGAAACAGCATTTCAAATGTTCTGAATAAATTATTACCATGTAAAACCCACTATGGGGAAAGAGTTGTTGAGAGGCAAGGACACTGTGAACTCACCAGTGGAGAACTGTAAAGCACATATCTATTAATTTTAGCAAGTGAAAAAGGCAATGTGCTTTCCTTCCCTCACAGCACGGCTCAGTGAAGCCAAATAGTGAAAGCTGTGTGTATTGATTAGGCAGAAAATAATTTTAAAAACTACATAGTCATATTTACATATCAATGGTGAATACAATAAGGTCATATTAAGCTATTTTAGAAAGGAAAAAGCTTTTAGGTAAAGGTATATAAAGATAACATTCCACAAAATTTTTAAGTCTGTAGTCTAATTTTTAGCCACTTCTTGCTTTTACCTGAGGAAGATTTGTATACTGTATTATTAAAATAATCTTTTATCCACTTGGAGGTGACTCAGTTTTTGTTGTTGTTTTTCACTCCTGTTAGAAGTGATAAGAAAATTTTCATGCTCATCCACTTAAAATGTGAAGCATTTTAGGATATTCCAGAGGATTTACTTTCCAATAAGAAAGTTATTCAGCACTTTAAAAAAAACTAATGAATGAGATGAAATTGAATTTGGTGAGGATGTATTAAATGTTTTAAAAGTTTTTTAAATTAGAGTTTTGAAGTTTAAGGATCATTTACATTCTCACTTAGAGTAGTGGTATCCAGAGCTATTAATATACAACTAATTTTAATGGCAAATCAGTTTTATAATAAATGGAGCTTTATCTCTATATATGATTCATACTTAAAACTGAATATACAGCTTTAAAAACTATATCCTGTACTGGAAAGATTTTGGTAATCACAAGCAAATCTAGTCAATAAATTAAAAGTTTGTAATACTAAAAAACCACAAAGTCAGGTTTGTCTTAATCACTCTACAGGATCCCTTGTCAAGGAATGAATAGCTGGTTAGAAGCAAAAAAAGTAAGTTGAGTAAGTTTTGGCACCACGGTATTGCTTAATCAGGAGAAAAACACAGCAGGCGAAAGAGTTCTAGGCCAGGAAATAATGAGTAGTTCATAGAATAAGGGAGCGTTATGTGGAGTGTTAGAAGGCAAGGCTGGAAGCAGGTAAATTAGCATAGTTTGTGCAGGGATCCTGTTCCATGCTGAGGACATTATGCGACAGCCCAAGGAGGGTTATAAAATTAATGGAGGGCCAGGATTGGATGTACAGTCGGACAACTCTGTAAACTGTGCAGAGTTGACTGAGGTCTCAAGCTGACTCCCGTTGGATAGAGTTCTGCTCCCCAACAAAGCAGCCAGGTCCTGCACTCCTGGCAAAGTAGGCAGAGGCCTTAGAATGGGGCCTGTGGAAAAGCTAATTGAACAGACCGGCTTGTGAGAGTGTATTAAAAGCCTTCTGAAATAATTTTTAAGATAGCTTTTAAATTGATATTCTTAGCGTGTTTTTGCAAGGTGGTTTTATGAAGTATTTGAATAGCTGTATTCTAGAAGAACAGCTTAGATATAAAGATGAGTTAAAGCAAAAGTACTTTACTTCATAATGTAGTCTTTCCTTTCAATTTCTACATTTTATTGATCTTACAATAAAGAGAATGTTCATACATAAATTGTAGTAGTTAAGACCGTAAAATTGTATCTATACATCCAAAGCCAAATGGATAATTGAGATAATTATTTAGATAATTTAAGACAAATAATACTTTCCCTGAATTCTCTGTATAATTGAGATGATAGAGAGACGTATATTTCTTGAACCACTTCTATAATTATCTTATTTTTTCCCCACTGTGCTTTGAAGTATAGATGGTAGCCTCACTCAAAGGTTCAGCTGAAGATTCTATGCAGATGTACTAGGCAATTGTCGTAATTCTATTTGAATTGTGGGATGTTTCATTTTATTGTGCACATCATAAACCATGTTATTTCAGTTTAATTTGCTGTTCTGTTTCCATGGTAATTATGGTTTGGAAGAACGAATTTTAAAAAAAGATCTATTTCAAGATAAGTAAAAATGTAAAGCATGTTGTGTTTGTTTTTATGTACCAATTTACAGATGCCTCACTTACCTTTTATTGCTATTTGTATGCATAGCTTTGAAAATGTTTGCATAATAAAAAACGAGTTTATATAGATAGTCTTTGGATAAGAACAGAGGAAAAGAATGTAACTTTTTTGAATGGTGTGAAGTTAAAATATGAAGACTTTGAAAATGGTTAATCAATACCTGTGGAGAATTTGAATTATTAGTAAAAATAAATAATTTTAAATTCAAGGGGTTTTTATGTTTTCATGGTCTTTGATGATTTTGATTAAATTTAAACCCAATTTTCATGAATTAAGGTTCAGAAAAAATACTTATCAAGCTCCAAACAGCCCCTACTGTTAGGACCTTTTTGTGTAAAATTTTAGGGTAAGTTGGTTTGTTTCTTTGTTTCATTATTCATTTGCTTAGTCAGCATACCAAAATTTAAAATCTCACTGGTATTTTGTTCAGTCTCATCTTCTACCCCATATCTTAGCACAAACAGCAAATTCTATACTGCACCTTTCATCAAATTGTGGAGTTCAATTCTCATAACCTTTTTTTATAAATGAAAAAATTAAGGTCACAGAAAGATATAGTCACCTGCTCAAGGTCATACAACTAAGGGTGGAGGAGTTCAGGATATGATGTAAATTGAAAACATGCTATAAATTATTAAGCTCCTTAGAAATTAGAATTATTATTATACAGAGATGTATTAGCATCAAAAAAAAAAAAGGAATAACTCTGCTAAGAAAGCCAGTGAGCTTAAGTGAAATAGAAAATTAAAAAAAAAAGAGTACCTATTTATAACTGTCAAGGGCAGCCGTGTTAACTGTTTTGAAATTTTTCTCAAACTGTTTTAATATTATTTAATTAAATGGCCAAGAGATAAAACAGTAAAACACAGAAAGGGAAAAAACGTAGGCAATAAGAATGGCAGAATATTTTTTAACAATTATAAAAGTTTTCTGCTTCATTATTAATTGTTCTAAGTCTTTTAAGTGGAATAGAAATTATCAGCAAAATTATTTTCCAAGAAATACCCAGATAACAAGCACAAACATTTTGTTGTGTTTTCCTCACAGTTAGATATCAGAGATATTTAAATCCTTAGCCCCATAAATAAGCAGGTGTCCTTGGGAGCAATAACGACAACCAGTCCTTCTCTTTTAGATTTAGCCACGATCGTGAGCCAAACAAAAGTGCAACACCTTCGTTGCCACCTTCGCCATTTCAAACCAAAGAAATGACAAGTCCTTTGGTTAGTGACGATGAAGTATTCCCAGTGGTGAGTTGCTGATTATTGGTTATTGTTTTTTCCTTTATAGGGTGATTACTCTTACACTGATGCTGATATACTGATGTGTACATAGTGGTTAAAAACAAAAACATTGCTCCTTGAATAGGACTCCAAGATGGGTCTTGTGAATCATCTGGCCATGACTACCTATAGAAGGAAAGGATCCATAATGTTTCATGAAGTATTTCACTTCTAGAACAGGCCAGAATTACCGGTGACTCTTTTTTTAAAAAAATGCAAGTCACCTCTGCACATTCTAAGACCCCTCAAAGATCTGTATATTTTAAAGAGCTACAAGTGATTTTTTGTGCCTGTTTTTTTTTTTTTTTTAAATATTTATTTATTTATTTGGTTGCACCGGGTCTTAGTTGCGGCACGCATGTGGGATCTAGTTCCCTGGCCAGGGATCGAACCCAGGCCCCCTGCATTGGGAGCATGGAGTCTTAACCACTGTGCCACCAGGGAAGTCCCCTGTTTTTTTTTTTAAAAAAAAAAAAAAAAACTTTTGTTGACTCTGACATACATACAGAAACATGTGCAAATCAGAACTGGACAGCTTGATGAATTATTGAAAAGGGAACACAGCAGTGTAACTACCACCCACGTAATAAAAAGAGCATTAGTTGTACTCCAGAGGCTCCCTTCTGTGCCCTTCCAGTCACTCTGATTCGCTCTCAAGATAACCACTGTCTTGACCTTTAACATCGTAAATTAGTTGTGGCCATTTGTAAATTTTATATAAATGGTATTACACTATATGTGCTCTTTTGTATAGCTTCCCTTGCTCAACAGTGTTTCAACATTGTTTGATGAGAGTCATCATCCATATTGTTGGCTGTAGTTTATCCCTTTTTGTTTCTCTATAGTATTACGTTGTATATAAATACTATATATAATGATAGTGTTATATAATGATACTGATACAATTTATCCATTCTACTATTGACAGATATTTGAATTATTGCTGTTTGGGGCAATTACAAATACTGCTTCTAAAAACATTCTTGCAAGTGTCCTTTGGTGCACATGTGTACATATTTCCATTGGATCTATATCTAAGAGTGGAATTGCTAGGTTATAGAATATGCATAAGGTCAGCTTTAGCAGGTACTGTCAAGCTGTTTTCCTAACTGTTTGAGTCAGTTCATATCCCTACAAGTAGTGTGTGAGTATTCTCCTTTTCTATATTCTAACAGTTGGTGTTATTGGTCTTAATTTTAACTTTTATGGTCAGTGTGTAGCAACATCTTATTGTGATTTTAATTCTTGTTTCCTGGTGACTAATGAGGTGAGCACCTTTTCATAAATTTATTGGCTATTTTGATATCCTCCTTTGTAAAGTATCTGTTTGATTTTCTTGCCTAATTTTCTATTGGATTCTCTTTATTCTTCTTGATTTATAGGAGTTCTTGGTATATTCTAGATATAAGCCCTTTGTTGAGTATATGTATTGCAGGTATCTTCTCCCACTCTTGCTTGCCTCTTCCCTTAATGGAATGTTTTGATAACCAGAAGTTCCTAGTTTTAATACATTCGTACTTATGAATCTTTTCCTTTATGCTTCATATTTTTGGTGTCCTATTTAAAGCTTTTGCCTGTCCCAAAGTTATAAAAGATATTATCCTATGTTATCTTCTGGAAGCTTTGACTCTTTATTTTTTACTTAAGTATACACCTGGAATTAATTTTTTGCATGTAGTGCAAGGTATGACCTCAGTCCCTTTTCCCATGGAAATATTCAATTGAATTTATACATGTTTTCCAGTTCTGTAGATTCTTTGAATTTTCTATATTCAGAATCAAAATGATAGTTAGACTTCCTACTTTCAAATCTTTATACCCTTTCTTTTCTTCTTCTTGCCTTATTGTACACTAGGACCTCTAGTAAATGTTCAGTAGTAAAAGTGGTATTGCCAGCATCTTTCTCTTATTTTCAATTGCAAAGGGAAAGCATTCAATATGTCATCATTGTACATAATATTTGCTATATATATTTTGTAGGTTCCTTTTAAAAGATTAAGAAGGTTCCTTTTATTCCTAGGTTGCTAAATTTGTTTTCACGAGTTGATATTGAATTTATCAAATGCTTTTTCCACTGCTATTGAAATGACCATATAATTTCTCCTTTGCTCTGTTAATGTGGTGTTTTTTTCTTGACGTTAGATTGTTAACCCATCTTTGAATTCTTAGAATAAACACACTTGATTACTGGCTTTGGTCTGTTCATATTGGTTTAGAATTTTTGCTTTATGTTCATGAGAAAAATTAGTCTGTAATGTTTCTTTGTTGTCTTTGTCAAGCATTGGTATCATATTTTGCCGACCTCATAAAACAGGTGGGAAGGGTTTTAAATTTCATATTCCTTTGTTCTTCGTTTTCCCTGACTCTCTGTGTTGGTTTCTCTGCATAAGATAAAGAGCCACCTCTCCCAGCCTTGACCTCTCCCAGGCTTGAGGAAGTGGCCTCATGTAGGTTAATTTCAGTTTTATTATTTTTCTGTTCTTGGATTTTCATTTGATTTTTCTTTTTAGTTTCCAGTTCTTTGCTGAAATTTTCTACCTTGTGATTTGATTTACTGAACATAATCACATATTTTTAAAAGATATGTAGGTTTTTCACCTCAGAAACTAGTAGTACTCTTAGCAGTTACCTTTGCTTATATTCAAAGTGTATTATGTAATTTTTCAGTGCCTCTCCATGATATACCACTATTAGATACAAATTATAAAAACAAACAATAACAAAAAAACCCAGAAAATGTTTAAACTGGTTAGGCATCCCATGAGTACTTTTCTGCTTTTCTGGAATCTATCACCTTCTTTGGGAGAGACTGGTAGTAAGATTTAAGCTATTGTGGAAGAAGAAGACGTAAATCCATTAACTTTGGATGTTTTAGAGATCTCTATAGCCCTGAAATGCTCTTTTGTTTCATCTCAACATAAAATGCCAAAATTATTTGAACAGAATAAAATTCCATAACAATAAAGTAAAGTAAATAAATTTCCTCATTTAAGCTAAGGGAACATCTAAGGGGACTTAGCAAATTTTGATCAACAAAACTTTGATCTTTAAGTACTCCAAAGTAAGCACATACTCCAGTCCAGCAAGAGAAAAAAAAGGGATAAACTGCTAAATCCTTCATTGTTCTAATATCAGATGATTTTAGGATGATTTGTCTCTGCTCAAATATCACCTCATCAGAAACACCTGCACAGCTACCCTACAGTAGCACCTCCCTTGTAGACTCCCTGTCCCCTCATCCTATTTTTTGTTTCTCCATAGCACTTTACCATAAGATATTTTGTTTGTTTGCCTCCCTCTTCTAGAACTTAAGCTGCATTAAAGTAGGATTTTTTTTTCTATTTTTGTTTACTGTTTTAACCCCAACACCTAAAACAGTGCCTGGCACTAGCAGGCACAAAAAGCATTCAAGAGTATTGTTTAACTTAACACGGGGTTTCTTTCCACCTCTAAAATTCTACATTATTCCTTTGAGGAGTTCATAACTACAGAGTCAACCAGGAAAGAAAATTCTCTACTGTTGTAGGTCTGGGCACAGGGAACTTAAGATGTGATGGTGGCCCTAGAATTTCCTGAAAGACGTAGCCCAACCCACCGTTCTGGGTCCAGTGATTTCCATCCACTGCTGCATTTTTACTTCTACACCAATACTGTTCCTACTCAGACCACCAGTGACATCCTAGTTGTTAATTAAATACACAGTTTAAAGAACTCATCTTCCTTAACCCTTTTCTCTTGATACTCTTATGTTCTCTGACTTCTAAGATGCTGTTCTCCACTGATTCCCCTACTGCCTTTCTGGTTACTCTTTCCCAGTCTGCTTCCAAGCTTCTCCCTCCTATACCTGTCCCTTAAATACTAGAGTTCATCATTCGCTCAGTCACTGATAAAATAAACATGTATTAAGCACTCACTGTATGGCAGGTTCTGTTCTAAACACATCTTTGATGAGACAGACAAGTCTATAGACTGGTGAAAAGTGGGGAGAACTCCATCAATGGGTGAATGGATAAACAAAGAGTGGTATGTATACATGGTGCGATACTAGTCAGTCACAAAAAGGAGTAAAGTACTGATATATGCTATAATGTGGATGAACCTGGATAATATTATGCTACGTGAAGGAAGCCAGACACAAAAGGTCATATATTATATGATTCCATTTATACAAAATGCCCAGAATAGGTAAATACATAGAAACAGAATGAAGGTTGGTGGTTACCAGGAGTAAAGGGGGAGGGAGGATTAGGGAGCAGTGGCTTAATGGCTATAGAGTTTCCTTTTGGGATGATGAAAATATTTTGGAACTAGATAGAGGTGTGGTTTTAGTACATTGTGAATGTGCTAAATCCACTGAATTGTTCATTTTGAAATGGTTAATCTTATTTTATGTGCATTTTATCTCAAAAAAGAGGGAACAGTTAATGACTAGAAACAAATGAACAAGTAAGAAAATATCAAAAAGTTATAAATGCTATAAAAAATGATGAAAAGAAAGCAGACGATGTGATAGGAAGTGATGAGAGTATGGGGGATGACTTTAGGTTGAGTGGCCAGGAAAATGATTACTGAGGAGGGGACGTTTAGGATGAGACCTAAATAACAAAAAAAGATCCAGCCTTGAAAAGATCTGGAAGTAGAGCACTTCGGGCAGAGGGAACCACTGGTGCAAATCTGTATGGCAGGAAGAAGTTTGGTAAGTTTGAGAAGCAGAAAAAGGGAAGGGGGTGGTCTGGAGCTTAGAAGGGCAGAGAGAGAATGTAATGAAATGGGGACAGAGAAATAGGCAGGGGAAGTCCATGTATGTAGAGACTGTAGGCCATGGGAAGGAATTTGGATTTTATTTTAAAGCAATGGGAAGCCATGGGAAAGTTGCAAGTGGGGGAGTATATGATCTGTTTAAAAATTTTTAAGAGATCCATTTGACTGCCAAATAAAGAATAAATTATAAATTATAGATGGGCAAA